ATGCAAAGAACCACTTCTATATAAAACTCCTGGTTCTAAATAGAACCACTGCCTTTATAAAGAACCCCTGAAGAATCTTTTTAATTGTGTAGTCGTACTTCTAAGTGTTCTGTTCTCTTGGATCTCTGCTGAGAGCTGAAGCCACTGACCGGTGGCTGACCGCTCTGAAGGAGATGATGCGCTGCGAGTAAACATGTCTAAACATTTATTTACACAGGTCAGGAGAGAGGAAGAGGATGAGGAGGGAAAAGAAGAGTAAGAGGAAGTGAGGACTGGGAGGCAGAGGGGGAAGATGTCGACCATGGTGGAGTTGAGGAGCAATCGAGGAGGTCAGGAGAAAAAGGGATGAATGTTCACAGAATCCAGAATGTGACAAATTGTTGTAAGACTCAAGAAGGAGTTGAAGAAGTGTGTATGGAGGGGTGGGAGGAGGAGAAAGGACTGGGAAGAAGATGAAAGGGATAGAGGAGATGTTGAGAAGCTGCCACAGGGGGTCATTATTTCATCATTCAGTAATGAATGAACTTTCGCCTTGACTTTTCATACTGGATCCCTCACAGGAAGTTTACAGTGTTGGAACACTGTACAATACTATAAACACCTGCAGTTGTTGGATCAACACATACAGTGTTCATGTCCAGCTGATCCAACAGTATAATGAACACTAATCCAACTCTGTGGATGTTCATTCTAGACACTGGGTGTTCGTTCTGGACACTAAGTGTTCACTCTGGACTGTAGGTGTTCATTCTAGACAGTAAGTGTTCATTCTAGACTGTAGATGTTCATTCTAGACACTAAGTGTTTATTCTAGACTATAGATATTAATTCTAGACACTAAGTGTTCATTCTGGACTGTAGATGTTCATTCTAGACACTAAGTGGTCATTCTGGACTGTAAATGTTCATTCTAGACACTAAGTGTTCATTCTGGACTGTAGATGTTCATTCTAGACACTAAGTGGTCATTCTGGACTGTAAATGTTCATTCTAGACACTAAGTGGTCATTCTGGACTGTAAATGTTCATTCTAGACACTAAGTGTTCATTCTGGACTGTAGATGTTCATTCTAGACACTAAGTGTTTATTCTGGACTATATATGTTCATTCTAGACACTAAGTGTTCATTCTGGACTGTAGATGTTCATTCTAGACACTAAGTGTTTATTCTGGCCTGTAAATGTTCATTCTAGACACTAAGTGTTCATTCTGGACTGTAGATGTTCATTCTAGACACTAAGTGTTCATTCTGGACTGTAGATGTTCATTCTAGACACTAAGTGTTTATTCTGGCCTGTAGATGTTCATTCTAGACACTAAGTGTTCATTCTGGACTGTAGATGTTCATTCTAGACAGTAAGTGTTCATTCTGGACTGTAGATGTTAATTCTAGACACTAAGTGTGTATTCTGGACTGTAGATGTTCATTCTAGACACTAAGTGTTTATTCTGGCCTGTAAATGTTCATTCTAGACACTAAGTGTTCATTCTGGACTGTAGATGTTCATTCTAGACACTAAGTGTTTATTCTGGCCTGTAGATGTTCATTCTAGACACTAAGTGTTCATTCTGGACTGTAGATGTTCATTCTAGACAGTAAGTGTTCATTCTGGACTGTAGATGTTAATTCTAGACACTAAGTGTGTATTCTGGACTGTAGATGTTCATTCTAGACACTAAGTGTTTATTCTGGCCTGTAAATGTTCATTCTAGACACTAAGTGTTCATTCTGGACTGTAGATGTTCATTCTAGACACTAAGTGGTCATTCTGGACTATAGATGTTCATTCTAGACACTAAGTGTTCATTCTGGACTGTAGATGTTAATTCTAGACACTAAGTGTTTATTCTAGACTATAGATATTAATTCTAGACACTAAGTGTTCATTTTGGACTGTAGATGTTCATTCCAGAGTGTTGGCTGTCTACAGATAGAAACACAGCACTTTCCCATCTTCCAAATGAATACGCTTTTCAGAAAACTAGAAATAGGTGGAACAGAAGACTGAAGTAGGCCGTGTGCTTTCAGTGGTGGTCATTTTTGAGGTGATCTGGAGGTCAGCCATCATAGTAGATTGCAGAAAAAGTACCCAAGAAACAAGAGGAATAACCAGTGTTCATAACATTGCAGCTTTTTCAAACAGCTGGTCTTGGCCAACAAAACCATTCTGCAAAGCAGAACCATGTTCTACTGCAGGAGAACCCAATCCAGGTCCTGGACATCTATGACCCGTTCAGTTACAACACACCAGGTTCCAATACTCAGACATTCCCAAAGGCCTTCATTACCAAGTGTGTTCATGATCCAGTGTGTTGGAGCTAGACTCTGTTGGGAGGGAGACCTCCAGGACCAGGATTAGATACTCCTGAGGAGATTAGAGATAAAGTAATCCACCTGCATCAGGATGGGGAAAGTCGAAGAAAATAAGAGAAAAAACAAGAGTTCCCAAAACTGTTCAGAAGATCCAGATAAACTGGTATTTCTAACAACCACCCGCAAGACCTGGTAGACCACCAACACTACCAACACTGTCCCCATCAGATAAACACACTTAAAGCTTCCACCTTAGAAAGAGTTTAGAAAATCAAGCAGCTTCAGATCTGAAACAATCCACAGGTGTTTCTGTCCATCCTTCCACTGTGAGAAGACGACTCAGCGCTATGGGTTTGAATGTGTGGCTGTCAAGAAGC